TTGGAAAGCGAGCGAGGAAAAGCAAAAATGCGTTCTATAATATTTTGCACATACGAATCACGAATGTCGAAAAAAACAATTTTAATTAAATTCGTCTGTCAACGTTTTCAATGAATTTTCGTTAACATGAATATCTTTGAATTTTTAAATAAATTTTATTAACGCGAATATCTTTGAATTTTTAAATAAATTTCGTTAACACGAATATCTTTGAATTTTTAAATAAATTTCGTTAACACGAATATCTTTGAATTTTTAAATAAATTTCGTTAACATGAATATTAACACGATTAACATGATTTTTGAATTGTTAAATAAATGAATACCCCAAATATCCAAATCTCCAAATCTCCAAATCCCCAAATCTCCAAATCCTCAAATTCCCAAATTCTCAAATCTCCAAATCCTCAAATTCCCAAATTCTCAAATCCCCAAATCCCCAAATCCCCAAATCTCCAAATCCCCAAATAAATGACAGATAATTATGTATAATAAGTGACTACAATTGTGAAGAATCGACTCGAAACCACAAATTGATAAACAATTTTGCAATGCACTAATTCATTAGTTCGAAGAGTGCACGGAAAAGGTCAAAATCATTAAAGTGACAATTAATCGCAATCTTCCACTTTGTTAATTGCTGAATCGAGTTAACCTCCGTTGTTACGTTCGATGTGTGTTTTCCATCGATGAATCTCTATTTGTGTTCACCATATTTAATAACGTTCAGCATTTTCATTGTGTTCAATTATCTTTGCCACTTGTCCAAGTAATTTAATATTTCCACAGCCACGATTGCTGACGTATCGCCGATAAAAATTATCGTTACCGGTTAATTATTCATTAACACGTTTTAATTGATTCACAGATTCCTTACGAGTCCTTTCAAATCGTGCGAAATATTAAATATTGATTTTTAAGGATGTTACAGAAACTTTAGAAAATACAAATCGATTTTTAATAATGTTCCTTTTTTATAATCATCTAAATGATTCTGTTCAGAAATTTTTTTTTAAATTCATAAAAACCATTTAAAACTAGTTTAAATTAAATTATTGTTTTAAAAAATAATCATAATTGAATCGTTTTATTTGATGCATTAGTAATGTTTGACAATTAAAATTTTAGAAATGCGATTATGAAGAAATATAAATTTGCATTCGATTTTATCAATTCAATTTTTTGTATAACAAATTATGCAACAATAAACAAAACGTTATCGAAAATTTAATTATTTCGCAATGGGTAAAATTCTTCCAAACATCGTACTGATAAGCGAATATTTTGACTCCAAAGTTTAAACATCAATGTTTTGCAATACTAATTACAGAAACAAATTTGTTTCATATTTAACAATAAATAAAGCATTAATTACAGCGATACAATTAATATCTTTGTTGGACACGAATGTTTTTTATCTTTTATTATAAATAATTTAAGAGCTGATACCGTATCATATAAATGTAATTTTCAAAAATTTGCATGCAAATTATTAACATTTTCGTATGCAGTTTAATACATAAAAAGAAGTTAAACTCTGAATCATTCGAGGATAGGTTCAATGTACTTCTAACAGATAATCTAACAAATAGTACAAATATTTTTCTTTTCATACATTTCTAGTAAAAAAGTACTTAACTCACTTTTCTTCAAATTGTAAAACAAATTACAAATATGTACAATAATTTATATTCCTCTGTTAATTAAAAAAAAAAACATCGAAGATAAAGGAGACAATTGACACTTGAAAAAATAAAATAATTAAGCTTCTATCATAAATTACAATTCGTACTAATTTAATATGAGTCATAAGTCACAAGTATTATAAGTAACATATCTGACAGTTCGATAATAACGCACTATGTAAATATGGTGTTTTTATCTTTCACTTTAGTGTTGTTTCGACGTTTCGTACGAAAAAATACGTACTCTGTGTTATTAGTCATTTAAACATGAATTCTCGTGAAACAATGAATACGAAATTAACGAAAAATATTGCCGAATGTTATACGGAAGAAAATAATCGAAACAGTTCAATTCTCAAAAAATTGTACAACGAAATCATACGCGAAGTGAAGAAAGGTAAGAATCGTGTTCAGTTAGACTCGTGACAGCAAATGCAATGCAAAATTCTCAGTTACGCGACGCACTTAATTACGGTTTTGTTTGAAAATCTTTGAAGAGTTAAACATTTTTTATAACCTGTTATCAGGTGGGTTAATACAGTTAATCTTCGGCAAAGTACGAAGTAGGTACAATTGAAACGTGTGTTGAAAAAAGGACTCACGTTGAGATCTTCTTAATTGTGAACAATGAGAAGACTTAAGTTCTTACATTCTGAAATTTTTGAGATTTACAACATTCGGAATTGGAGCTTTCGAATTTTTACAACTTGGAAATTTTTGTATTTTGTAATTTCTTTTGCGAATTTTCCAATTCCTGAATTTCTATATCCCGAAATTTCAATTCATCGGTGATGCAAATTTTGAAATTCTTAAATTTTCAAATCCCTAAATTACCAAATTTTCAAACCTCCAAATCCCTACATTTCCAAATTTCCAAATTTCTAAAACAATGAATTACCAAATTACTAAATTTCCAGATTCTCAAGTCTCCAAATCCCTAAATTATGGAATTTTCCAGTTCCCAAATTCACAAATCCCTAAATTATGGAATTTTCCAATCCCTAAATCCACAAATCCCCAAATTTCTAAATCCCAAAATCCCCAAATTTCCAAATCCCCAAATCTCCAAATATCCAAATTACCAAATTACCAAATCTCCAAATCCCCAAATTCCCAAATTCCCAAATTCCCAAATTCCCAAATCCTCTAATCCCCAAATCTCCAAATTCCCAAATCTCCAAATCCCCAAATCCCCAAATTCCCAAATTCCCAAATTCCCAAATCCTCTAATCCCCAAATCTCCAAATTCCCAAATCTCCAAATCCCCAAATCCCCAAATTCCCAAATTCCCAAATACTTCCGAATTCCCATATTTTCAAATTCTTATATTCCTAAATCTCAAAATCCCCAAATTTCCAAATCCCCAAACTCCTAAATCCCAAAATCCCCAAATTTTCAAATCCCTAAATCTCAAAATCTCCAAATCTCCAAATCCTCAAATTCCCAAATCCCCAAATCTCCAAATCCTCAAATCCCCAAATCCCCAAATCCCCAAATCCCCAAATCCCCAAATCCCCAAATCCCCAAATCCCCAAATCCCCAAATCCCCAAATCCCCAAATCCCCAAATCCCCAAATCCCCAAATCCCCAAATCCCCAAATCCCCAAATCCCCAAATCCCCAAATCCCCAAATCCCCAAATCCCCAAATCCCCAAATCCCCAAATCCCCAAATCCCCAAATCCCCAAATCCCCAAATCCCCAAATCCCCAAATCCCCAAATCCCCAAATCCCCAAATCCCCAAATCCCCAAATCCCCAAATCCCCAAATCCCCAAATCCCCAAATCCCCAAATCCCCAAATCCCCAAATCCCCAAATCCCCAAATCCCCAAATCCCCAAATCCCCAAATCCCCAAATCCCCAAATCCCCAAATCCCCAAATCCCCAAATCCCCAAATCCCCAAATCCCCAAATCCCCAAATCCCCAAATCCCCAAATCCCCAAATCCTAAAATCCCCAAATCCCCAAATCCCCAAATCCCAAAAATTCTAAATTTCCAAATGCCAAACACTCAAACCCACAAACCCCAAAATTCCCAAATTTCGAAGTTCATCAATTCTTCAATTCCCAAATTCCCAAATTTTCCATCATAAAAAAGTTACACTTCGTACTTACTTTGAGATTAGACGGCCATGCGACCATCGATAATCGCAAATCAAAGTGTCCGCCTGATAAAGTTATTGCTACGTCTAACACATTGTGAGAAGGTTACAGACAATCTACAATGCTAAGTACAAGTATTACCACTCGCGTGAATCCATATTCAAAAATACAATCGCACGTGTATAATTACATACACGTGCGTGTATAATCCTGTTTATGCATGTCTATTATACCGTAGAAAGATCAAGCAAACAGTAACAATTATTCATTGCGATACTGTTTTGCAAATGCAAAACGTTCCGGTTAAAAAAAGTGGCCTCTTATTTGCATAAAATGGCACATAACAGTATTATCAATGTCATTATCATTATTTTTATACAATATGTTTTTAACGTGTGTACGAACGTTATAGAGTTCTTACAAAGGTAACAACCTTTACAATGATTTTCAATGATTCAAAGATAAATCCCTTACCTTTACAATGATTTAACACATTGACTGAAACAATTGAAAAATGCATCCAGTAGTGTTTTAATTTTTAATAAATTTTACCAAATATTTTCACAGTATCTCGTTACATTTATTTTCCATAGATCTATGGAATTTATACAAGAATTTTTGATGAGGAAAGTGAACAAATGTTTAATAATACTCATGCTAGATCAGTTTAGCAACTGAAGTGTCACTCATATATGGATGACGTGGCAGTCACTGTGTTAAGGAGTCGGAGCTTTGAAAATTTGTAAAAGTTCTTGGAACCTAATGATTTGGAGATCTACGGACCTTACGATTTGGAGATTTGGTAAAGAGATTCACAGTTTAGGAGTTTGTAGACACATTTAAGGGCTAAAAATCTTGTAGACATTTGTTAAAAATATAAATGCATAAATTTCGAAATCTTTCACAAGTTTCCGTGCTTTGACGAGTCTCACTCGTGACGCACTTACAACGAAAATGTGACAAACCTTACTCAAATTTTGAACACTCTTTAACTTGAAATTCAGATCCGTCCATAAGTTGCATTATCAAGGATCCTTGAATATAAAATATTCACATTTTAATTTTCTTTGTTCGTTTCAATAGTTAGTCTTGACTGACGCATCTGATAAATAAATGGCATGAGAAGGGGTTAAAACAATCTATAAGATCCACCACTTTCCTACAGCCAAACCTTTTAGTATTAAGAAGAATTAACGAAGTGCTGTTTTTGCAGCGGAAGTGAATGGCAAGCAAGTCTCAAACGGGAAGGAGGAAGTAGTCGACAATGGCAATGAGGTCGATGCCGTGCAAGAAGCTATCGGGAATCTTGGCAGATGGCAGATTTACGTCTGTCTGGCAATTTCGTTGGTTAAATTCCCAATAGCTTGGCACCAGCTCGCGATCGTCTTCACGGCGCCACACCAGGACTACAACTGCACCTCGCCAGCTCGTTCAGAAACGTCAGATCAGTGCATAGTCAATGTCAATGGAACATTGGCACAATGTACGGAGTGGGAATACGACAGGAGTATGTTCACCGAGACCATAATATCTCAGGTAAGTGTCAAAAATTTGTCCCCGTTCGATTTTCTTTCTTCTTTGCTCGTGGATCGAGCGGAAGCGTCGGTAATCGATGCTTTAAATTCCAGCGGCGGAGTTAAATAGATTATTTTTAAATGATTTTTTGCTTAATACTTTCTGTTTATAAAAATAAAATGTGACGCGTACGTGTAGTGCGTGCGTTTACGTTTTTCTCGAATGGAGACATGAAACGATGAGTCGGATGTTAAACGAATAATGAAACCGATTTAGACGTTTAACGAAGCGTGTCGCTTGGGTAAGTGGAAATGTTCGGTCAGTATGTTTTATTAGTGATTGTAGTTTAGTATTTGTTGGCGCACTTTGACCCGCGGGATTGTATTGTAATGCGTAACGTATGATGTAAATGATTGAATGTGAACGAAAGTTTCACTATGCTTCCCTATAGCTGTCGTTCTGTTAGCGCAAATTGGATGTACATGGTGGGCCTTGTTGGAAGAAACGAAAATTACTTAATAAATTTCTTTATAAAATGTCGTAAGGTACTTACTAAAATTTTGTGCAACTCAATGAACTTAGTAAATATTCTTAATCAAACGTCATAGGGGACTTACTAAAATTTTGTACAACTCAATGAACTTAATAAATATTCTTGATCAAACGTCATAGGGGCCTTACTAAAATTTTGTACAACTCAATGAACTCAATAAATGTATATTCTTGATCAAACGTCATAGAGGACGTACTAAAATTTTGTGCAACTCAATGAACTTA